ACTAATTATGATTTTTTAGAGCCTAAATCTTAAAATTCTAAACTCTAAAAAAATTTTTGACCTCTAAAACCCTTTAAACCCTCAAAATTAGACCCTAATACAACATAGTTAACTCAAACATAAATGATATAATGAATAAATAATTTTGAAAAGTGGCATTTTTGTAAAGATTGTAAAAATGTGGCATTTTTGTAAAGTGACACTTGAAAAGTGGCATTTTTTGAAATTTCTCTAATTTTAATGGTCACAATATTACCACACATAACATTTTTGTTAGATTTTGAATTATATTTTTTTTTTGGTTATTTACCAAATTGACCCAAATTAAAAAGGAACAAAAAAAATAACATGGAACACATAGTTAGAAAGATACCATACTTTCAAAGTATTTCGGTGAGAAAAAGACTTGACAAAGACATTGCTCATGTATGATTGCATCAACTCTTCAAATCCTTCATTCAAATTAAACTCTTCTCATGAATTTCTTGCTTGATCTACCTATGTTGTACTTAAAAATGTGGGAGGCAAGTTTAACGGACCTAGAATGATATATCTAGACATTGCTCATGCATGATTGTTTTGTTAATGTTTATGATATTTAACTGAATTTTCCTTAAGAAATCCGACAACAAAGGGTAAAAAAGACAAAAACAAAATAATTAAACATTGCCTTACTATTGACCTTTGTGGAAGTCCTCTAGAACCAATCATTCTAATATTGAGACGCTTACTCAGGGTTTTGCAAGCTGCTTTTTCGAAATTAAACACCAAGGTGCAAACCGAGTAGTTCGAGAGATCGCAAAAAGTGGTACAAGAGGCTGTCGTTTCCAATCATATCTCGCAGTGGGTGACCATTCATGGCTTCATGATTGCATAGCAAGAGAGTCCGCTTCTTAACATTATTTAGCTCTTAGTGTTAGAGTTGTGATGTTGATTTCCTTATGGAGCTTTGTTGCATTGCTATTTTTAAACATCCTTTGGATGGTGGAAATTTGCTATGGAAGTTGTGTTTCCGCGATTTAAGGTAAGTGACGAAAATGGAACGAGATTTAGGGGGATAATGTTGAGTCCGAGATTTAGGTGAATCAACTGGTTGATTATGGAAAGATATCGAAAAGTCAAGAATTTTTTGCAATTGGTCTGGTTATGGAAGGTTACGATAAAAAAAATGGTATCTTCTGTCTCTGTTCTTCTTACCAGGTTAATGACTCTGCATCACTGGGGTCAACTTCGATCCTCCTGTTGATTACCAAAATCTTTTTAGTCTGTCTCTCTTACTGTGCGGTTCATGATGATCCTGAGCTTGAATCATCCGAAGATGAGCATGAGGAGAAGCTTTACACTGCGTTGTCTTCACCAGTATCCTCTGATACCAAGTTTTACACCGCATCGTCTAACTCCTCAGGTGACAATGATATGCCATCTGACTTCTCTGCAAGAGCTGTGTATGGAGACTCAACGCCACCATCTCCTCCAAGGTCACCCCCACCATTTACT